CCAGCATCATATGGCTTTCGTTACATTTTTTTGTGCGTTTTTTTAATTATTTACAAAATTTTTACTTTTTTTTTTCAAAACTTTTTATGAACATTAAAATGGATTATTACGCTAAAGTCCATTGTGCTGTTGCGGTATTAAAAGGTCGTTTCGTTACTTGTCCAACACAAATATTATATATTATAATATGACGCAAACACATACACACTAATTACAATATATTGTAATAAAAACGCGTATATTAATTGCGGTAATCTTTGGCGATATAAACTGCCTGTCACTGGTGCAAAAACTCAAAAAAGTTATTATATGGAGCGTATTCAATAGGAACAATTCGATACAAATATAATCATCCATTGTTATATGGCTTAGTCTAAAAATGTATTAAGCTTTATCATCCTTACGATAGCTCTATTCACGAATGTTCGTTTACGCATCAAATAAATGAACTGAGCAAATGTAAAAAAGGATAGTTCGCACAGCGCATGCATAGCAAGCGGTACGGCAATGTTCCGTCTAACAATTTGTACGATTTACTGCAGAAATTTGGTTTGACTACCCAATCATGTTAGCATTGTAGGCCAAGTTTATTAAAGACAATTGAATGAACCCTAATGAAAGCTGGTGCACGAATTTGCCGCATATTTTTCAACTTTATATAGTGTGATATAAAAGTTGTTCAACACATTTGCAAAGAAATACGAAAGACACAGAAAGGCGACATTTTCCAAAACAATTTAACAGAAGTCATTAAAGATGTAGTTGGCAAGATAGTAAGTCGACTTTTTTAATTGCTAAGCATATCTCACAAATGGATGCCTCCATCAGACGTCACATGCACAATTTCGAGATTTTGACGATCAGCGCATATAATGTCTGGCTTTCGTGAGACTTTTGATAACACGCTTTCTAATCACACGTATTACGTCTTAATCGTGATTTTAGTAGACGGTCGGAGCGACAGACAAATAGATAAGCCAAACTCGAGTACCATTTTCAAGCCAAATACGAAAGGCAACCAGTTTGCGATGTGCTTATAAGCTGCACAAATCCGTTATGTCGATTTGATAAAGAGATGGCTGTTGTTTTGCTGGTGAACAACTCTTGTATATAAGTTGTTCCGCTAAAATGTGTATAAGATGGTTTGGGGAACACTGAAAGAACACATCAAGATTTTTATCAGAAAAAAAAAAAAAAAAAAAAAAATGTAAATGAGGTAAGTGTTACTTTTTCGATTTAATTCGAAGGAGAATGCCGTTAAATGGCGAATGTGCTGAACAAGGGATGTGCCTTGTGATCGGAAGCCCAAATAACGATGATGTAGACCAGCCGAACTATTAATATTTTGCGATGTCAACGGGTTGTAGGGTATTCTACGCATAGCGGTTAATGGAGTTGAGCCGGAACACGGACGACATGGACGTCCATGATGTCATTTTTTCGGCCTAATATAGAAGCTTTAGAAAACAAAACTGCTGATATTTCCATTATATTCGCTAGGTATTGCTTATTCTGAATAACATCAGATGGACTTGATAAGTCAGTGGCTAAGTGTCCGAGGAAAGCTCCTGGCGACGAAAATCCATCATGGAGAGGTCGCCGAGAGCATCGGAAGTCGCCTGTTTGCAGATTTTTTTCACTAACCAGCTACTACGGCGACTTGAGATTATTGACAGAGTCAAAGAAGTAGTAGCATGATAGACTGTTTGGCATAACTGGGTCGATATTACTTCATTTACATGTATTTAAAATTCATGCGAGAATAGTTGGATGCTAGTTCACGATGTATATGACAACGTTACGTAATACCTACAATCCTAAATTTCTATAGTCCGAACTATTCGGATCACGGGGATAAGGATCCCCATTTCGATAAGTTGCATGCGAATGAATAGTCGTATACATATATATTTCAATGGGAGCAGAAAGTCGACGTCGGAGCGAGAGAACTATACCGAATGTCCCACTGAACACTAGAAGGCTCTGAATAATATGGCCGTTTAAGTGATGCCAGAATATCTTGCTGACTGGTGGCACAAGTTACCGCTTGCACACAGCTCCTACACTAAAGAGTTTCGTCCCATTAAAACACTTCGAGATATACAGAGGTTAAATTTCAAAGGTTGACTATCCGATCCTTCTTCCGTGCCCGACTAGATATCCTCGAAAGACCAGATATGGAAGATGGATACTGCGCAGGTAGCCTTTGGTTTGCATTTTAATTAAAATATCCATTGACAATAGAAGTCTACTTTTTTGCCAATGCTGTCACACTGATTCAGAATGACCATACTGGTTATATTCGGACGGGACAACTAAGTCCCTAAACTTGGATTAACAGCACTTAAATGATACTGTGACATCCGTAATATTTCTCTAGCAGGGCGTGTGGGCGTACCAAGACATGTCATGTTAAGAAGCTGCGATTGCAATGCATACCGAAAAGATCAGCAACCGTTGAGAACAAAGTCCAGGACAACGACAAAATAAATAATTTATTAAATTTTCCGGCATAGCACATAAACTATTAAAAGTACGAAGGCGCAACTTATCGACATATTGATTTTGTGTGCGAATATGTGGCTATCTGCAAGATCGGATACTGGGTATATGGCAAATATTTGGCTTCGACTCGAAGAAGTACACGGAATTTTGTAAGAATCCTAAAGCTGGAGGGCTGAGGCGTAAGCGGCTATAATAGATCTTTTCAGGTCGGAGTACAGATTGTCCACTATATTACAATACAACACAATAGTATCAATATTTATCAGGATTATATCGATGTTAAGAAAGGCTAAATAGCCCACTGACCTATTCACTGATAATGAGATATATGTTATATATGGAATGGATATCTAAGATTCAGCCCAAGAAGAATACAACGTACTGTGTACAAAAAATTTGATGCAAGATTTAAATATAATTAGTAATTGTTACAATTTTACGAGTTCCGGGTCCATTCCACATATAGAGATGACTGCTTAACAATTTCTAGCCGTCTAATTTTGTTGAGATTTCTCAACCACGCAAATCCGTATTAGATGATTTTTCATTTCTTTGAGCACATGTATGTGTATATATATATATATATATATATGAAAATTAAATTTAACTACATCTTAAACCTAAAGTGTTGAATGAAATGTTGTACTTCACGTAAGATATGCAACAAAAATTTGGGAAAAAATGCTTCGATATTATATGTTGGGTTGTTCGGAAAATCATTTCGGTTTAGTGTTTCTTAAATAATAGAGCATTAGATGTGTTTTTTTTTTGTAATCAAGTTCATACCGAAGTCGCATTATCATAACTGACGAGGCAGGGCTTGTTTGCGAAAACCATTGTTTGATTCCGCACAATAGTTTTTATTTGGCGCCCCATCAAATATGGGAACCCGAAAACAGAGTTTTCGACATGTTGTACTGTTTTCCAATCGAAAGGATCAAAATGCTGTCCAAGCAAAAAAGAAATTGTTGGATGTTTAGCAAGACAGAACATCAGTGCCATGACTGGTTTGCAAAAATTCCTTTTTAGGAAATTTTTGTATAAATATACACATATATATATATATTTATATATTTTTATTTCAAATAAATTTTTTCTACGTACTCAATGGACTTTGTTATTTATGATCTCTTACTGTTTTTCGGAAAGTTTCATAATTCCGTTAATATATGGGAGGCAATCAGGCGAAAATGATTTCCATAAACGAGAAAACGAAACAAATGGTAATTGAAAGTTACAAAGTACGCGCTATACGGTGGATGCATTACGGCTTACCATCCAAGCTCGCTTAATTTTTGACGGCTCATCAAAAGTCCATACGGTCTGGCATTGATATGATAACTGCCTATCTACTTTATCTACCTATTCTATTGATTAAATCTGTCCAAGATCGGATTGATCGGTAATTTGTCTAAATGCCAACAGTATAGATCGGGCCCTAGAACCTCATGATGTACGATCCCCTTCGAATTCCCTGATTCCTATAGCGTTATGTGTGGTGAGGCGTTAATTCTCGATTCTCTTTAACTATGCATTTTCTCGAAAAACATTCTCCTAACTGACTTCTTTTTACCTTTTGATCGCCGGTAGTGCTTTGCCTAAAGAATAGCTTGCTTTCGCTTTTATATCGATTCGCTGATAAAAGCGGCATTCAAACATTAAGCTTAATTACTGCGTAATGGTTTCAAAGTGCCTGTGTTACATATTTGCCTATTCCCAGCCAATACTAAGGCTGTTTATGCATCTATCTCTTTCGATTTTTTTGTAAGATTTCTTCAAGTTTTGCAGTCATTTTTTAACGGAACTACATACATGTTTGACAGACAAATTTTCAAAATGGAAAAGTGCAAACCATCTACATGCTGTAGCCATTGGCAATATATCTTCACCGAAGAGGAGCCACTCTGCTAGCGATTTTTTATCGAAAATCCATTAAGTTTTAAAATTATACATATATATTTTTTCATGGGATTGAGCGAAATACAAAAACAAATGTTGCCTGATATACCAAACACCAAAGATGAATGAAAAAAAAAAAAAAAAAAAAATTTTCATTACATATGACTCCCAATAATAAATATATAAAATATTTTGTTTTATAAATACTTGCTAATGCGTACACATTTATTTAGTGAAAGTCGCCGCATTACCTACCTATGCCTACCTACATATACGGGTGGGGTACATGTTGTAGTTGGTAGTGTGGCATCGAATATTAATGCAAGCTAATTGTTATAATAATTCTATTTAATAGTTATGTTATCGCTTCAATGAATATATCATATATATATATTCTTATTCTTACATAATAATTACTGGGAATATGATTCAGTTTCATTTAACCGTTTTTGCCTTTAATGTCAATTTATTGTTAATATTGTACAATCAGTATATTATGTTACTATATAATTTAAATCTAGGGCTTGTCGTCGCTTTTTGTTTATAATGTTTGCTTTATTCTTATTAAACATCAATTATTTATAATATTATATATATGTATATATGTGTTATTTACTTTACATTTAGTGGAAGCTCCTGTTACACGCAAAACTTTACGGGAATGTTTTCAAAATCCATTTGATTGTTGTTGTTGTTGCTGTTGTTGTCGTTAATATTATTATGATTGATGTTGATGTCTTTCCATTCTTCCCTTCATATTATATAGCATTCGTAAAATTCAATGCTGTTTCCAACTAGTTGCTATAAGATTTTTTTTTTTTTTTTTTTTTTTTTTTTTTTTTTTTTTTTTTTTTT